CACCCCCCAATAAATAAAAAAAAAACAAGACGCTTTCCAGGATTCTACGATATTCCTTCCAAATATTATAGGATAGACGAAAAGAGAAAAAACGGTAACGCATAGACACTCCGGTAGCAGAGTTAGGCGTTTTTCATATTCTGTCTGTTTAGTCCAGTCAAGTTTATAGCAGAAAACAGAACCACTACATTACTTTTTTTCGCGTCTTCTCGATAAATCAAGTGAACAAATCTCATAATCATCATATACGACTACATAAAAAAGTTTAATCATTCCATATTAGATATATATTTGACGAAAAAAGCGAGTCAATTACGTTTAAGATTACACTAATTTTATTCTTGATTATGATAAATCCTAAATGAACTCCAACTGGACTCGATAAAAAACACTCAAGTCCAAGAATGTCAAATAATGCGCCAGTAGGGACTTGGACCTGGCCATCTTGAGAAGGAGGTGTTCCACCTTGTTCTAGCTTTTCCCGATTTTGTCACATTTTTGTAGCAAAGATGGTCGGAAATTGCAGAAAACAGCAAATGTCTGCGCAAAAACCGTAAAAATTTCAAACAAAACTTTGGCAAAATCGGAGTAAACTCAGTCCATTCTTTCATAAAATCGGAGTAAGTCTGCCGTACTTTTGGCTCAAATCCGAGCAAATTTGCAAGAAAATTTCTGAAAGCAGGCGGGGTGTACCGCTTCCTCACGCCAACGGTCGCTCCGCCACTGCCAGTAGGCGCTAGTTTGGGCAAGTTTTCGCGAGCCCAGAGATATCGCAATTAATAGTCATCCGTTGAAAATAAATTTGAGCATCGGCAATTCAAAATGCTGTCAGACTGCATTAGTGATTTGAATAGATCCACAGACTCTACATCTATTTAAATCGTTAGTGTGTCTAACTATTTTGAATTGCCGATGCGCAAATTTATGTTCAATGGATAAATATTAATTGCGATTTCTTTGCGATACCTCAGGGCTCGCGAAATCTTGCACCAAAAAAGAGCCAAGGAAGCACTTTTTGCCGTTGGCCATATCGTCAACCTGTACGTGATACGTTGCACAGAGCATGTGTGACAAGAGAAAAAGTACATTTTTGTTAATCAGTGACGACACGCGTATATAACTTATATACGCGTCAGAGTTTTGAATCAGAAGCTATCCAGAAAATAGCAGAGTCTGCAGCAGTAAACAGTAATAGCAAGGTACTTTATTGTTAACAGAATAAAATTATTTCATAATTATCTCTCGCTCTCTCTCATCAAGCAAAACATTCAGTGTATGTAAGTTATCTTTAGTTTTCACCAGTGTAGGTATAAAAAACATTTTTTATATTACCGACAGAAAAATAAAGTTCATTGAAAGTCATTGAAAAATGCTTTTTTGTATTCAGCACACTCGATCTTTTCTTTCACATAATCATTAACATGTATCCATGGTGATTGGCATAATAATGAATGATCAAATGTTTTCAATCGTGGAATTTCAGTCGTTAAATTTTGATTTGAAAAATACAAATGATCACTGAGATATTGTAAATGTTTTGGATTCTGATGAAAATAGTGATCAGTATCAATGCGTTCATCAAATAATTTATCCGTTATATTAAGTATTTTCTTAACTGAATATCTAAAAATATACCATAATGAGTAATTTGTGATCTAAAAAGAATTTATAAAACTACTTACATATGACTATAGTTATAAAGCATTGTACATAACATTTTAATGTAAATACTTCCCGCAGTTTCACTTCGAAATGATTTTTCAAATGCATTACACGAATATGCGATGCACATATTAAACGATAGATGTTCATCATGGATAGCATGTTTAGAATACGGCACAATATTTACTTGTTTACTCGTATTCAATCGACATGAATTAATAAAAAAACAGCGAATCTTTTTTTTCCATATACTCGAACCGGAATCATTGAAATTTGTTATAGCTTCCTTTAGATACACTAATTGCGCATCATGTGTAACAATGCAGTTAATTTCACCATGTGTCATTAAAAATAAAGCTAAACAATCATATTTATCATATTTGTCTTTGTTATACTTTAGATCATTAAGTGACACATCTAAATCGTTTTTAGAAAAGTCTTTTATACATAAAAGTGTTGTAAAATTCATTGCATGAAATATATTCTCAATTAATTTAACATCGTTCTGTGAGCCCAAACGTTCAGGATGACCATTAAATCCCATAATATTAATGATGACGCATAAACCCTTCTTAGGTACAAGTTTTGATGATGTATCAATTGAAAGTCGATCGGAATATACAAAATGAGAGGGGGATATTGATGGAGAAATTTCTAAATTAAAATTTTTTTTCAATAAAAAACATAGTAATCGTTGTCATGTTTAAAATTCTTACTTTTATTTTCATTTCTTTGTTCGGTACAAAATATATCATTAAAGACTTTAAATTTCATGATAAATTCTTGAAAATTATTTATTAAATAACTCGTCTGTTTTAAGGTGTTGATCGTATCTTGACATTTTTCAATTTGATCCAAGAAATTTTCTAATGTATAGTTTTGTCCCATAGATTGATAGATTGATAACAACGACGTATCTACTGATTTGGTGTCGAAATAATATTGTAGTCGTTTCAATTCATCTTCAGATATTGTATTTTCTATTGCGACTAATAGGAAACTAAATCCCAGTTCAACTAAATCTGTTTGTATGGGACATAAAAATTGTTGATAATAGTTGAAATGACGTTTTGATAAATAAAAATGTTTGAAATGTATTAATATTAGTAATATGAGACGTGTTAACATATTATCATCGACTTCTTCTGTAGGGGGTAATAATAATTCAAACTGTGTTTGTAAAGTAGCTGTCATCACTTCACCGCCCAAAATTAATGTTAACGAACGACATTCTTGAAGATCCATTGTAGCCAATATCAAACTGCATCTGTCTACAAACTCTTTTGTAATTGTCACACGTGTAGACATGAAAAACAAGACTATTGTGTTGATTTTCTAAGCAAACTATATCTTTTTCACGTAATACAAAAGCACCGTTACAGTTTTGTATATTAAAGACAAGATCAAGGTTTTAAATGAGAAAACAGTCTGAATGTATCTCTTGTCGAGACGGTTAGCTAATAGGTAGTTGTTTTTATAATGTTTTATTCCTTTTTTACTTCTTTGACTGCCTGTTGAATCACTGATTGTTTTCATAACAGGTTTTTTCCTGTTCTGTATTCATGCGTCATGGTTTTCGATAGCTGTTCTGACGTTCGTTACCAATCACACATTTTGCAAAATATATGACACGTGTGCATAAAACAGTGGGAATTACCCAGTAAATGTATTATCCATTTTATGGTGAAAGAATTAACAGTTTATAAAATTTTTTGGAATTATACAACTCTTTTTCTCCAGTTAATAATATCCGTTCAGAAATAGAACAATAAAGTAACTAAAAAATGAATTTATCAGTATTTTGTGCAAAAAACATCATTCTATCTGGGATATTTTCATACAGGTCCGTCCACTTTATACACGACTTAAAGCCGGGAAGGTGTGACTATATGCGATCGATAGTCCCACTAAAGGTGTGTAAAGATTCCTGTCGCCCCATGGAAAAATTATTCCGAACATGGTTTTTCATCGGCGGTAAGTTCTGAATTGAAGCGTTTTTATGGGTGCCAGAACAGCGAAATTGGACCTTATCTAATACTATCAAGCTTTCTCATACTGCAAGCTGGAAAGAGCATACAAAGTTGCACATTTCTATCCGCAAATAAGATTTTCCCTCTAATATTCGCAAACAATTTTTGACTAGAAGATCTTATCTGCATTAGCAGATATCACTCGTTTTGTAGCGTATTGGACGAGCTCAAAATCTAACAAAACATAACTTTATTTATATTTAAATGAAATCGGCTTCCAAGTTTGTTCGTATGATGCAACAATGAAGTCTCTATCACTTTTTACTTCTTCATGGTAAATATAGCCATGAGACCTACTTTGGCCCTTCTTGGCTTCCTCCATCGAAAACTACACGTCAGTGCATCGAGATCTTGTTAGCCCACACACTACTCGACTAGTGATACAAAAGGCGCAAGGTATTGACTTTGGCCAGGTGGTTTTGCTTGTGGCGATTTTCTAGAACTCCAGTCAAAATCCTCAGTTACTCATGAATATTGAATCAAAACTAACCTGAAATTCGGATTCAGCATGTCATTTTCATGGGTAATTGAGTATTTTTTCCCGTTCCTGACCCTAGCCTGATGATAGGATTTTGACGGAATTTCTAGAAAACCGTCACAAGAAAAACCATCAAGCCAAAATCAATACCTTGCGGTCTTTACATACCTTTAGTGGGATTATCGATCGCATATAGTCAAACCTTCCCGGCTTTTAGCTAATGTAATACTGGGCGGACCTGTACGGAAGTACGCTCAGATCATCTACGCGAGACCGATGTCAAATCTCAAAACGGTCTAAAAAAAAACCAGATCGGTCTTCGATTCAACCGCATTTTCGAAGAGATCGGTGCGAATATTAGCATAGTCATCACCAGAAAATCGAGTAATCTGCACATCGTCATTGAAAAAAAGGACATTGCATGAAGTTCTCCTTCTTTGCTGAAAGAATCTACTAGATCATGTAAATGAGTTCGATAAAATAATGAAAACCTTGTAGAATGAGCAATACAACGCAAAATGACATGAATGCAGGGAACGTATATCGAGTGGTCTCTGGATCCTCGGTGTCTGTGTGTCTACATAAAATTGGACTATATGACATTGAAAAGATAAAAATTGAAAAAGGTTATCTTTGCTTGTTTGACAAGAAGTATATACAAGGCAAGTTTCATAGTTTATGCAAAGAACGGATAAACCTCGTCATCATCACGATTCTCCAAACAGACAAACACACCATCATCATCAACAGCAGACTCATAGTCATAGAAAAAGAGAACACTCATCTGATCACTCCATACGCGGTCGTCTGCCCGTAAGCAACATCATCGGGGAACGCGACCAAAACTGGACGGTCGTGCTCGAAAAACAAACGAATATAAGTTGAACAGGCAAAATAAAAGGTTTATATTCAAGTGAAACCGTCAAACAACGTCGTCGACTGTATAGACCCCCAGCAAGTCTCAGCGTTTAGAAAAAATTGTTTCGTATTGCCAGACGAATCTTTTCGATCGAACCCAATGTATATGACACGGTCAATGATTACATATTCTATAGTGGCTCAACGTCTAACAATGGTTCGAAAATGGTTGAAGATCTATTTAAACATTGTCACGAAAGTATCTCGATCGGCTGGCCTGTGCTAACTATTGTCGGTACATTTATTATTAATTAAAATATTATTCAATACAGCTATATCTAGGGGTGGCACTTTCCCGTTCCTTTCCTTAGCAACGATAAAGTGGTATCTTTTATTTCAAAAGTAAAGAGTAAAGATATATTTGATATCTTTTCTTTCCTAAGAAAAAGGAAAGTGGTATCTTTTTCTATTCCAAAAGAAAGAAACGCGATATCTTTTCTTTTTTCAAGAAAAAAACTTTTTTTGCACCTTTTAAGAAAGTCTTTTTCGTGCAAAAAGAAAAGATATCGCTTTTTCTTTCTTTTGGAAAAGAAAAGGTGCCGCTTTCCTTTTTCTTAGGAAAGGAAAGATAAGCATTATATCTTTACTCTTTTTTGTTGTAAAGAAAAAGAAAACCTTTTCTTTTGTTAATAAAAAAAGGAGGTAGGAAAGGGAAAGTACCACCCCTACAGAGGCCACGTTAGTAAGTAATTAGAGAGTAAATCAGATATAATGGAAACTAAAGGTACTTTCAACTTCCTGGAATAAAGTAAACATAAATTTGCTGCTCTGATTCAAACTTTTCTTTACATGA